CAGTTGTAGTCAGCATAATTAATTTTAACACATTGCCCCATTAAAAAGTAATTGTTTCTCAGTAGGTTGCAGCAGATTCATGTGGCAACACTTTTTTTTTTGGGGGGTGGAGGTTAATAGCATAATTCATTCACTTTTTTAACTACTAAATCTACCCTATGTCCTTGCCAACTTTTTTTATGTATACAGGATTTTAGCTCTCGTGATAATTATTTACCTACAGGTAAATAAAATCCCCAATCAAAATATAACTCGGGTAGACAAGTCATAAATGGAGCTTTATTTTAATAACTGCTTTCTTTCAAAATTGAAAATCTGATGTACATGCTTCATATCCGCAAAGATATTTAACCTACATTGGTCATTTTAGTGTTAAATTACCTCATATATAATCTTAATTTCTTTATTGGACAAGTCTATTTTAGGTATTATAGAAATGAAAATTCAGTAAACCATCCTCTATTACAAAATATTAAAATTGTCAACTAAAATCATGGCCTTTATATTTAGTTTGATTTATAATAAACAGTACGCAAGTTCAAATATTTCATCCTTTATACAAGATTTTGCTGTAAACTAATTTGGCATATTTCCTTAAAAGTATGTTTACAATTGAAATATACAATAATAGTATTCGAAAATTGATTTTCAGGCAACATTTCCACAAATTCCTTTGCATTTGGAAAATACAGAACACAATGCCCTAATCACTAACACTTCCATCCCATAGCTTGGTAGTTCTGACACCCACAAAGAACAACATATATTCCCCTGGTATCTGTAATATTTAGAAAATACAGTATTAAAATCCCATCTGTTTTTTCACACCAGTGATCTATAACTTTAAGTTAATTATCATCATTTGGAAAGGTAAATGCATTACTTATAAGAAAGGAGGCACTCCATATATTTCCTACAGTTGATATTAATATTGATGCAATATCAGAGTGATTTACTCAAGATTGTGCAGTAAGCAAATCACATATCATCACGTGTCAACCTTTGCATTTAATGAGCAGACTCTTGAGAGATGCTTTTCAACACTATCTAGATCTTGCTGCTGCAAGGTTATAATTATCAAAAGAAGGCACCAAGCTGGGAAAACGTCTTAGCACCAACTCAGCTAAGATGATATCAGGTATTACCTTCAGTACTGCATATTTAGCTCCTATTTGGCTTCATTTTCGACTCACAATCGGGGCTCCTGGGATCGATTCCCAGGCAGGGCAAAAATGGTTTGGCATATTTCCTTTTACCTAGCATCAAATAGGTACCCAGGAGTAGGGCAACTGTTATGAGGGTTGTATCCTGAGGAGGGTTAATAGTTTGACCTTAGTGGAGGGGCATCAAAACAAGCCCAAAGTATTTATATATATGCAGGTTTCCTGGCCCCAACAAAATTAATTGCATTATAATTGCATCATTTCAAAATGCATCATCTAAAAATACATGAGCCTTTACTACTATATCACAATCTTGGCCCAATATTTTTCATGAGGAATATACAGGGAAATATAGAATTCAAAGCTCTTTTAAGCTTTTAACTTTAAAAAAACACCATCTGTATCAATCAGCCAAGTTACATGGGGGCGCTAGCCATTGATCAGCTTCCTAACTTGTACCAATCAGCTCTTACAAACTTTTCTCATACATACAGCAATGAAGCGCATCAATGATTGGGCAATTACAACTCAAACCGAATTTGCAGACCTTGCCACTGAATCTTAAAAGACAAAGGCAGTGGACTTATATACTGTGACTTGCAGAGTGCACTCCTGGCTTTTTTTTTCCCCCCAGATATTTCTGCAGGGGCCCTAAGCCTCTGGCTGGCCCACTAAGTGTTGCTTGTTTCTGTTTTACTTGGGCGGAGTATGAGTATTTATGACTCGTATAGTCGCTTCAGTAAGATTTTGTCCCATGTGGTTTAACAACTTCTTCTGCTCTGTTGAACCTAAGTTGAAATCTTAATGGGTTTCTAACTCTGCATTGTGTTAGATAATGTTCCAGTGGTCTGTCGGACATTTCTCCACAGTGCTGACATTTCCTGGCATTGAACGCACATAGTAGTAACACCCAGAAAATAGTCAGTGATATACGAATGAATGTTTTAGCTGCTAAAGAAAACAAGATTTAAAATTAAATTCCTTTGGATACCATCACATGTTGGCATCTCAAAGCATGACACTGTTGATATGCTTGCAAAGATAGGCTGTAGAAAACCAGTAGTAGAAATTAATATAGGTGTTTCATTAGCAGTGACAAAGAGAACACAAACAAATATCTAATGATAATCTCATTGACCTAACAAATTCACAAAGGCCTGAAAGTTGTAGCATTAAACCTTATGATAAATATCGTGAGGAGATATTTATACAGTTTATCGAACTAATAGAGCAAGAACTCGGCAATGTGATGTCATAGTTGCCAGAATACGCCTGGGATATAGACATATCAGGCAGCTTTTTAAAAACCCAAATGTCAAATACACCATGTGTCAACTTTGTGAAAGAGAAAACTTGCACTCCCTTGAACATTATATTATAGAATGTCCTATATTGACTGAATTTTGCCCTCCTGGGGTGAGGTATGCTGAACTCTGTAATTACTATATGAATACTGGAACACTTGATATATTGGACTTGTACCAAAGATTAACTATGTAATACATCTGTTATACAATGTATTGTATCTATACAATATGTAATACATCTGTTATACAATGTATGTACCTATAACCTGAGCTTTTAAAAGCATCTTAATCATCTTCAGTGGTTAAGTGTTTAATATCACATTAGTTTCTATAAAAGCTATCTTACCCTGTCAAAGTAGGAGGCACATAGGTGTATGTATATATATATATATGTGGATATGTGCAGGTATGTGTATATATGTATGTGTGTGTGTGTATATTTGTATACAGGGTATGTGAAAGCTGGTCAGGATTGCATTTCACCTTTGTAAACGCACACTAATTAATGATGCTATGTAAATAAAAAAAATCTCGAACACTGTTTATGTAGGACAGACGTAAATCTGTGTATTTATGTTTGTAGGCAAGATTAGCATTTTAAAAAACACTACAATCACCTGTGGTTGATTGTTCAATAAATCACTGAATTGTGTGTTTAAAAGATCTCTAACCCTGTCCATGGAGGACAGAAGAAAATGTGTATATGCTGGTTACCATTGTAAATGTGTGGCCAAGTTTGTGGTACCAAAAAAAAAAATTATTCATCATTTGAATGTAGCTCTGCAGGAATAATGTTGTGATTTGCAACTATTCCACATGTAATAACTTGAACATTTATTTAAATGAACAGATTGTAAACGGGATAGTTTATAAGCACGTACTTGTCCTGTAATTGGCCTCGATTGAAGATGATGTATAGAACTTGTCTCTCTGAACCTGCTTGATTATACGAAACTACTCCATATGACAAGTAGATCGCATACTATTTAAAACACTGGAAGTGGCTTTGCCAAAAATCTCCCAAGATGCCATATTGTTGCAGATTGTGACAAAATCAATGAAAGCTATTTTTGACTGTGAACAATGAACAATTAATTCTGTGGGGAATTGTGCTTCAAGTTTGCCAATAAATGTGTAATTACCTAAATGTAGTTACAGGATGAGAGCTGCGCTCGTATGCATAGCTGGTGTTGTTGGTGCAGTACCAATAAAGAATAGATTTACAGAAAGCAAATTATAGACTAGTAAAGTATTTCCTTAATAAATAAGACTATATCCATGGCTTTTTGTGCAAGATAAAATGATTTTGGGTAGGAACTTTAGCGGTAGTCATCCTTTTCAATGTGCAAGATTCATTGAATCATCGAGGGGTAGTAATTTAATTTTTTAAATTATTTGTTTTTTATTCAATTTTTTTGTACCTCACAAAATAGTGTACATGTTTTTGCTTTATTCTCAATTATATTTAATAGTCTAACTTTGATGGGTTCATCGATGAACCATTTTTGTGATAAGATTATGGACATGTTCAGTGACTGAGCTTTTTGTAACATTGGTATCAATTATTTGTTCAAGTCCTGTCAGTTTGTACAATGCTCCATCAATTTTTCCATTTTTAAAATTTCAAAACAAATTATTGATTGCAAAAATTTTTAAGATACAAATGTTCTAATTCAGTCAGTCACTTTTTCTTGTTTAAGTATCAATACTTTTTTTTTAACTTTTCCAAGGTCTCCAGTTTGTATGTTCGAACTTCAAGACTGGAAAACATTGAATTTGAATTTCTTTGTGCAATCAATACATAATTAGGCTAATAAAATTCCCCAATCCCTTTATTAGTAATATAAGGAAGGCCATGGGGATAAATGTGATGAATTTAAATTGGGAAGGCAATTTTTTTCATAATTTAAAAAATTGCGATGTTCCAGGAAACTGTATACACTGTATGGCTAAGTGGAACAATGAAACATCGACAGCAAAGGAAATTTACTCCATTAACTTAATGTATTGGCAGTGTAAAGGTATAGTTTGTGACTAATGAAGTATCCCATATCCTACATTAGTTATACACGACCATGGACATGGCCGAACTCTTAGTTCAGGACTCAAGGTGCGTCTTCTATAATCAGCCCAGCGAGCTCCAAGAAAACGCTAGCTTCACTTGGTCTACTGCTATGCACTTCTCTCCCAAAATTTCTCTGAACAAACCAGCAGGTGTCTTAAGTAAGGAGTGTAATATATGCCTAGAGGCATGCACCCCTCCACTGCTATATGTGGAAAACCTTTAGAGTGGTGGCTGCCCAAGGAAAAAATAGGCAGGTGGACAGAGATACAAAATGACATCTGCTGTATGGTTTGTTTACATTTGAGTCAAGCTGCAAAATAGAAATAAGATGCTATTTTGCCCTCTCTATAACAGCATGGAACACTTTCTCATCCAAGAGCTCTGAAGTATCCCATCTTTACCTCCACACTTTGCGTGTTATATTCAGACATTATAGTAATTAAGAGGGAAAAAACAGAACACTGCAACAATCGTTTGTTTATATTTCGTTTGATACTATACAACATATTGAAGTTCCACGTTAATAAAAAGAACCTTCAGATAACAGGTAGTAATTTTTCACAGGTCACATGAAGGATGTACTAAAGACAAGAGAAATTACATCTTGTCATGTCATCTGAAGAAAATGACATCTTGCATCCTTGAGGCTCTCAATCTTACTACATATTTAACAAGGTGCAGTAGGACCCAAGAACCACTTGTAAAATATTCAACTGGAACAATTAGAAAACCATCTAATAAGCAACTGAGCCTTTTTATGGTTATTGGGATAAAACCTAACTGAAAAACTCATTACAATACCTTCACTGTTTCAGGTCTAACTGGTGTAATATATTTGTTCAACATCATAATTATAAAATTTGCATAATGAATTAATAGATATTTAATATTACAATAACATTGTTCACTCTCCCCCCCTCCCCTAACTATTATCTCAATCTCACATGGCCCCTGATTTTGAAAGGAGTTGGGCGAAGCGATTGGTGATGAAGAGAGTGGAGTCGATGAAGCGGTCGACACAATTAGAAATACAAGTCTCTGTGCGCGAGTCCAGTTTACTTCCAGGAGCACCAACACAGGTTTCCCAGCAAATGTCGTTCATCTTGTGGATCTGAAAAAATATTCACTCTTCAATTTATAAATATCAATTAAGCCACTTGTTATATTACATTACTACATTACTACAAAGCATACCTAAAACTACAGTCTGAACAAGAACACACTTCTGCCACTGTATACTGTACTGAACATATATAAGAAAAAAAATATAGGTTACAGTGACCAAGTCATGTAGTCAACCAGTTTAAATATAGGTAGCGTATACAGGATTTTTATCGTGAAAACATCATAAACTGGTCAAACATAGTAGGAGGTTACAGTTTTAAATGCTGTGCATGGTTAGTGGCTTTATATAATATACACTGTACTTATTATGTATCCACTGTAACCTGTTTTGTACACAAATCAATATAGAATCAATCAATAATCAGTCTCAAATATAATCAATATAGGAAGAGGCCAAACCCCAAAACATACCAGCGATACAAAGATGTGAGAAACTACTACATGGCAGTGAGGAGAGGGGCAGAAAGAAATTTTTAGAAAGGTATAGCGGACAAATGTATAACAGAATCAGGCCTATTCTATAAATTCATCAACAACAAATTGGAGTAAAATATAATATTCAGAGGTTGAAAATGGGAAACAGGACATTTATTTAAATTTTTCAATTTTATTCATTCAATTTTCATCCATTCATTAATTTTTATTCATTCAATTCAATTTTATTTCAAAAATTTCAATTTTCATGGAAAATGAAATCTTCGGAGAACCAGACAATAAGAATTCCAGAGAACAACAGAGCACATAGAGGTGTCTAGAGATGAACTGGAAAATATGCTCAAGGAGCTAAGTAAGAACAAAGAAATTGGCCCAGATGTAGTTTCAATATGGGTTCCAAGAGAATGTGCAGCATTCCACTTCAACTGATTTTTCAGGCATACCTGTGTACAGGAATTCTAGCAGATGTGTGGAAAAATGCTAACATAGTTCTAATTTACAAAAGTGGCAGCAGGAAAGACCCCCGCTCAATTACTGTATAGACTGGTATCAGACAAGTGTAATAATCAAAATATTGGACAAAATAATTAAAACTAAATTGGTAGAACACCTGGAGAAAAATGACAACAACAGTCAGACAGTATAGTTTTCGATCTGGAAGATCCTGTGTAACGAATTTACTCGGTTTCTATGATTGAGCCACAGATTTTACAGGAAAGAAATGGTTGGGTTGACTACACCTATCTGGACCTAAAAAAGGCTTTTGACAAAGTTCCACATAAGTGGTTGTTCTGAAAACTTAAACAAATTGGAGGAGTGACAGGTAGGCTTTAAAATGGATGAAAAATGTTCCGACAGAAAATAAGGGCAGTAATCATAGGCAATGTATCGGACTAGAGAAATGTCACGAGTGGAATGCCACAGGGGTTCAGTTCTTGTACCAGTAATGTCCATTGTCTACATAAACGATCTACCAGATGGAATACAGAATTATATGAACATGTTTGATGACAATGCTAAGATAATAGGGAAGATAAGAAACTTGTATGATTGTCATGCCCTTCAAGAAGACCTGGACAAAATAAGTATGAGCACCAATTGGTAAATGGAATTTAATTTGAATAAATGCTATGTTATGGAATGTGGAATAGGAGAACATAGACCCCACACAACCTATAAATAATGTGAGAAATCTGTAAAGAATTCCGATAAAGAACGAGACCTAGGGGTGGTTCTAGATAGAAAACTATCACCTGAAGACCATATAAAGAACATCGTGTGAGGAGCCTATGCTACACTTTCTAACTTCAGAATTGCTTTTAAATACATGGATGACAAAATACTAAAGAAATTGTTCACGACTTTTATTAGACCAAAGCTGGAATATGCAGCGTTGTATGGTGCCCATATCTTAAGAAGCACATCAACAAACTGGAAAAGGGGCAGAAATGCAACTAAATGACTCCCAGAACTGAAAGACAAGAACTATGAGGAGAGGTTAGATTCATTAAAGCCAAACCTAGAAGAAAGAAGAAAAACGGGCGATGTACAAAATAGTACAAAATACTATTTACTACGTACAAAATAGTAACGGGAATCGGTAAAATTGATAGGGACAAATTTCTGAGACCTGGAACTTCAATAACAAGAGGTCATAGATTTAAACTAACTAAACAAAGCTGCCAAAGAAATATAAGAAAAATTCACTTTCACAAATAGAGCAGTAGACATTTGGAACAAATTAGGCGAGAAGGTGGTGGAGGTCAAAACCATCAGTAATTTCAAAGCGTTACATGGCAAAGAGTGCTGGGAAGACAGAACACCACAAGCATAGCTCATCCTGTAACCACTTAGGAAATTACACTTAGTTGGTATTTTATTTGTAATTACCTATTATTATTACAGATATACTTTAACTCCATAGAAGCATTCAAGGAAGGTATCCCATCTCTCAACTTATTACCTCTCCATACTCAATCCTTGGTTACTCACACCCACCGCATCCTATCTTCTTGGTCTCTCTTCCCTCTCCTACCAATAAACATTGCATTATTATCCTTCAACTGTCAAATATGACAATCATTGCAGCACACACTTTCAATTTTACCTAATGCTGTAAATGTTCCTTAGACTGTTCACCTATACCAGTGCTTCATAAATCTGGGTATATTATCAAGAATCGAATAAAACTAGTTTTTCATTGGGTAACACCACCCCGGAATATACACTAAAATTTACCAGAGTATAAACTTTAGGCTTGGTGTAGTGTATTGATAGCTGTGGTAGTGTACTCACCTAGTTGTGCTTGTGGGGGTGGAGATTCAGCTCTTTAGTAGTGTGAACTGTGAGGTATGTATCATGCTGGCTGTATGCCATTCATATTTCAGTGAAAACAGATACCTATTTATACCTACACCTCATTATACTGCAACTCTAACAGTTCTATTTTTTCCATGTCATATCACTCTCTGCACCAGTAAAGCATTGTACCAGTAAAGTGCCCTACATTGTAGTAAACTTGTATCATGGCAATTGATGTTGTTCCCTCAGTCTAAAATGCAACAAATTCAAATCCTAATTTTCATTTTTTTCTTACCTAGAATGAGTGAAACGTCCTTATGTGCCAGACTTCATTGAGCTCGGTTTCACCAGTATTGAAAACAAGGGAGTGGTGAAACCCCAATGCATTATGTGCTCTGCCACTCAATGCAATGAGTCACTGAAAAAGTGAAAGCTCCAAGACCCTCTGAAGCAGAAACAGCTAACATTGTTGCCCATGCCTCCATCACATTTTCAACATTTAGAAGGAATTATAAACTAGCAGCAACTTTCCAACAAGGCTTCCAAAGCAACATTTAATCAAAAGACTGAGAAAAGCACGCTGCTAAGTAGCTTACCTGACTGCAAAATCAAAGATGCCACACACAATAGAGGGAAGCGCTCATTCAGCCAGATGCTATTCTCATCAACAAAAATATTGTGTGGGTCAGACCAAGCATGAAAAGTGGCAGCAGTACCATTGTCAAATAATACCATTAGTTGTTGAATTGAAATAATTGCTGGAGACAAAGGCAGAACTAATTTGCAGTATCAATCCAAGTCACAAGTTTGCTATTCAACTGCACGAAATTACGGAAGTTTCCGACAATTTGCAGTTGATGGTCTACGTCTATTATAAGTTTGAAACCATGATTGAACAAGATGATCTACTCTGAAAGGCTCTGAAAATGGGAAGGAAAATGTAAGGGAACTCATATATTCAATGTTATTCATACATTTTTTTTTGTGAAGGTTCAATGTGGGATTCCTGTGCGAGGATTAACAGCTCGCTCAATGTTGAGTCTGCATTCACCTTTATTGTCCATGCAAAGAAACAACCTTAAAATTGTCAACACATTTATATATCTGGAAGAGCCCACTCAGTAGCTTCCAGAGCTCAAGTGCTGCTACTGCCAAACCTTAGGAAATTGCACCAGTATTCCGAAGCCCATCCTAACCTACTGGGAGCCAGGAAAAGACTGGTTCTTGCTGTAAGGTGAGGGAAGTCTGGAGTTTAGAGATCAACCCAAAACCATGAAAAGGAAACACCAGAAAGGATAAATTCAACAAAACAAGCAACTGTGAAATAATATAGTAACCCTGAGGTAAATACTGTAAAGCAAACAATCATTGCTGTAGGGTGATGGCTAGCCACCCATATCATTCATTCATATATAGTCTGCTTGGGGTAGCCCCACTACTAGGTGTTGATTTTCCCCTGGAACAGTAGCTCTACGAGGGGCATTGCTTTATTTTTTTCACTATGCGTCAAGACTTTTTAGTGCGTGGTTTTATTTTTGCTCTGGCTGTTTGCCAGGGTTAATTATCCCTTGTATTTGGCTTGTGCCTCCCTTGCTCCACCAGATACCTACTTTAAAGGTTCCAAGTTCCTTTTGTATGAGTTGGCTACTCTTGAAACCGTTTTCAAGCAACTTGCTCTCCACTGCATGGCCTGTGGATGGCGAGTTGTTGTTGATGTATACACAAACCCATGGGATTCTGTATACATTACATTTTGGCTCAACTCTTGTGCATTTTGACAGCTTATGATTTAACCAAATGTGTCCTTAGGTCACAAAAGTGATTACTCCTTATCTGGAGCTTCAAATGCTCTCCATTGCCAACTTTCAAATGCCAGGCTAAATGGTTGAGATTGAACAAGAGACTTTTTGACACTTCCCTTGCACCTGCCATACCTGCCTGTTTGCGTAACAGTCCAATAGTTACTACAGGTTACGTAAAATAGATCTGTTTACCTCATGGGGCTGAACCATGCTGGTTGCAGCTTCCAAAGTTGTGATTCGTCACTTTTGAGAGCCAACAGTCTTTCCTCTAACAAGTGTCATTCTCACAGGATGGGTATGGGGTGCATGATAAATGAACTAAACTAAACTCTCAAGTGCTCTCTGAGTGAAGTGGCCTCTAGATTGCCAGCTCTAACCATGGCTTAACCAAGCAAATACTGCATCAGCCAGAAAAATGATCGGCTGGATTACGAGAACTTAAAATTCCAGGGATCCCATCACAATGGTTGTACTTTACAAATCACTTGTACTGTACCATCTTGAGTACTGCTCAGTACTCACTTCCCCCTTCAGAGCAGGAGAGATTGCCAAAATAGAGGGAATACAGAGAACATATACGGCATACATAGGCGCAATAAAGCACCTAAATTATTGGGATCGTCTCAAAGCTCTCCAAATGTACTCACTAGAAAGAAGACGAGAGTGATATCAAATGATATACACGTGGAAGATACTGGAGGGCCAAGTACCAAATCTACATAGTAAAAAAAAAACATACTGGAGTGAACGATAGGGAAGAAAATACAGAATAGAACCAGTGAAGAGCAGAGGTGCCATAGGCACAATCAGAGAACACTGTATAAACATCAGAGGTCCACGGTTGTTCAACATCCTCCCAGCAAGCATAAGAAATATTGCCGGAACAACCATGGACATCTTCAAGAGAAAACTAGATCATTTTCTACAAGGAGTGCCGGACCAACCGGGCTGTGGTGGATATGTGGACCTGCAGGCCGCTGCAAGCAACAGCCAAACCAAACCAACAGGACCAAACTCTCAAGTCAAGCCTGGCCTCAGGCCGGGCTTGGGGAGTAGAAGAACTCCCAGGACCCCATCAACCAGGGCTTGGTATTCTCTTCCAGCTGCCCACCCTTTCCCTGTCTGATTGGGTTCTTGGGAATGAACATAACACCAGAGGCACATAACAAAACTTTCAACAGCATATGCAAAATTAGCCAACATAATCCTTCAAAATGCTAGAAACAGCATGCATTAGGCAAATCCTAGAATATGCAGCTACAACACTGAATCCAGACAGTGAAGCACAAGAAAAAAATGAGCAGTCTCACAGCTTGTTTTTAACGCACAATCAGGTATCCATGTGGAGGATAGAAATGTTGTGGAACATTTCATTTTAACTAATACCTCTGTTCACCTAGCAGAAAATAGGCACCCTGGAATTAGACAACTGTTGAGGATTGCATCCAAAGGGAGGGTCAGTAGTTCAATATTGGAAGGATACAACCCTAAAATATATATACAGGCTTCCTGTCCTTGACAAAACTAATTAAATTATTGAATATATGCCACGAGACAAGTACCAGTGACATAGAGATAATGAGCTATGAGAACAGGCATGAGAACTTACCTAGCAACACTTGAAAAGAGAAGGACCAGAGGTGACATAATCCCAACACATATGTTTCACTGTGGGGAATAGTCAAAATGGAGACAAGTCTTTTCCAGGTGAGATAACAGAAGAGGGCACAGGTGCAAGTTGAAAATAAGTTTTGCCAGAGAAATGCAAGGAAGTACTCATATGCAACAAGTCATTAACAAGTGAAGAGTATTGGAAGTGGTAGAAGCAACCATTCACAGAGCCTTTAAAGAGGATGTACAAGAGTACTATGTTGTTGGAAGGTATATATACACACCAGGCACTGTACAGTAGCTAAAAGGCAGGGCTCTAAGAGCCAATTGTTCTCACACACAAATTACGAAAGCATTTTAGGATATCATAAAGAAAACCTGGCTTCATAGTCATCTGCAAAGGTCAAAATACTATCTAAAATGGTTACATATAAATGAGCACTCCTCTACCGCACTCACCATTGACTGCATTTGTGCCTTCTGTTGTTCAAGCATGAGAAAGGACTGCAGTTCTGCATCCTTCCCCCCACCGATGCTTCCACCACTGCCACTGTCAAAACCTGCAAATTAATAACTTGATAAAACTAGTAGTCTAGATAATGAGGGCAAATTTGTCAAATATTTTCTCTTTGGCAAATACACCATTTTACAATAAAAGTCCGCCATTCTTTAACAAAACGTGTCCATAGTAAAGTATGTATAAATTAGCCAAAATTACATTACATTATATTATATTTATATTCCTTGTTGACCTTAAATTCATCTACAAATTAACAATAATAATTCATTATGTTGGGGAACAGGCAGCCAATTTATACACACAGTACAGTACATGTTAGACTTATATGAAGGTCCTCCCCCTACCTCCCAGGGTTGAATTATTGACCCTCCTCAGGAAGCAACCCCACAACAAGCATACTAACTTCTGGGGTACCTTATTTGCTGCTAGGTAGACAGGGGCATTAGGCGATAGAAAACGCACCCAACCATTTTTGGCCCATCCGGGATTCGAACGCGGAATTCTCGATTGCGAGTCAAGAACAAACTCGGCTGTACTTCCAGGACCCTAAATAAGGTTACCTAATAATGTTGACCATATCCTGCTCCCACAAAGCAACACTACTATATAGCACCTCCATCATTGTATTATTGTACTGAAAAAATACCAGGAATGCTAATATAATGTGCTCCAATAAGAAGTTAAAAGCCTAAAAGATCTCTTGTATATATAAAAAAAATTATGCCTAATTAATTAAATGCCCTTTTCTGTGTGGCTTTGGCTCTCTGTACCACACATACACTAGGCCTCTTAGACTTGTACAGGCCTACCAAGTGTCCGGACCGGAATCTGCTGTGGTGGTCATTGCACTAATGCTCTCAATGTGCAATATCAAATTTAGGAGGAAGTAGCAACTCAGTTCAAGTAAAAAAATTACTTATATTTAATTTGTAATGTAATAAATACTTTGAAACCTTTAAAAAAAATTTTTTAATTGTATTGAAATTAAAATATCAACACATCAATACTTGTTGTAAGTAATTTTACATTGTGATCGTGTTTCCCTGACCTTTAAGTTCATAACGTATTGAGGTGTAACGCCTTAATTAACATACCAGCGCCCGGTGAACTAAACGAGTCACCAAAATTTGACGACCCAGAGTCAAAACTGGAGGAAAACCCGGAGTCCGAGGACGAGGAGGAGAAGTTGGAGTCGAAGGGGGCGGTGGAGGGCGACTCCGAGGTCGACTCTGAGGAACCATCACCGAAGAACCAGCCCATGATTACTCGCTTGTCTCTCTCTGGTGCACCGTCCTCGCTCAACCGGCGTAACCGGTTCTTCACCCCTGGCAATGGGTTGAGTGAGTGGCGTTGTTTACACCAGTAGGGGGTGAGTGTGAGTGGGATGAGACACTCCGGCCTCAAGTCCCTCACACGCCACCAATCTTAGTTACAAACACCTCCAATAGATGGTGCTCAACAAAACCTTTTTTTATTTTATCGTGTTATTATGAGCAGATATGTCGCGGAACAAATCCTTAGAGATCTAAAGCAATGTGCAGTTCACTATGCAGTTCACAAAGCAAAGTACACTTGCAGTTGCAAGTGTAAAGAGCCAAAGGTCAACCCCGGCACGCACAACTAGGCGCGTACTTGCAAAGAGCCGAAGCTAAACCCTCGGGCATTGGTGCCTTGAAATTTATACAATACAATACAATTTTATTTAGGTAAGGTACATACATACAATAAATATTTACAAGGATTGTTTGACTTATAGGTAGAGCTAGTACATACAATGCCTAAAGCCACTATTACGCAAAGCGTTTCGGGCATGATAAACTTAAATGACAAGCTTAATACTAATTGAGCATAATGAGTAGAATGAAAACAAGAAATGAAAACATAGATGAAAAAGCAGCACAAATACAATTATGTCGACAAACAGCGCTCTTTAAAGAAAAAAAACAGACATTGGTTGACAATAGAAGGGTAAGGTAGGTTACAGGGAATTTATTAGGTATAGCTTCGCTTTTAACTTAAACTGGTTGAGAGAGGTACAGTCTTTAACATGGTTGGGAAGGTCATTCCACATTCTGGGCCCCTTGATTTGTAGAGCATTTCTAGTTTGATTAAGTCGTACTCTAGGAATATCAAAACTGTATTTATTTCTGGTGTGATGCTCATGGGTTCTGATACAACCTTCTATGAAGCTTTTGAGATCAGGATTGGCATTATAGTTTAGCGTTTTATATATGTATAATACACATGAGAGAATGTGCAGTGACTTAATGTCTAACATATTCAGAGATTTAAGTAGGGGTACCGAGTGATGTCTGGGGCCAGAATTGGATATTGTCCTAATAGCAGCTTTGTGTTGAGTAATTAGAGGACGTAAGTGATTTTGGGTAGTAGAGCCCCAAGCATAAATACCATAGTTGAGATATGGATAGATAAGGGAGTAATAGAGTCACCAGGGCAGGGCGTGGTACATAATATCTGATCTTAGAAAGAATGCCCACAGTTTTTGAAACTTTTTTGATATGTTTAGAATGTGTCCCTGGAAATTAAGCTTGTGGTCAATGAGAATGCCAAGGAATTTGCCATCTAATTTGTTACAAATTTGGGTATTGTTTATTTTGAGATTTATTTGATTAGAGGATTTATTGCCAAACAGAATATAGAAGGTTTTGTCAATGTTAAGGGTGAGTTTGTTGGCAGTTAGCCACAGATGGACTTTATTAAGCTCAGTATTTACTGTGGCATTTAGAGCAAGGGGATCAGGACTGGAGTAAATGAAGGTTGTGTCGTCAGCAAATAGAATTGGTTTGAGGTGTTGGGAGGCATTTGGAAGGTCATTAATGTAGATGAGAAAGAGGAGAGGGCCAAGTATGCTGTCCTGGGGAACACCAATGTTGATGGGTAGGGTGGGAGAAATTGTATTATTCACAGAAACATATTGGAGCCTGTCAGTAAGGTAGGATTTGAGGTATTGTAGAGAGTATGTAGGTATTTGTAACTAGCTCATCAAAATTGTAACTTGCTTAGCTAAATGAATTGTGGGGATCAGTCCCTGCTTCTGTAACCCTTTCCATTACCGCCCACAATATGGGTATGGGGGTGTATAATAAATGATAACTCAGACACTGAAAAAGGTTCTTTCTATCGATCGACCCTGTGGCTCATTTGGGTACTAAGTTTCTACCTGTGTCCTCTTGTTGGCGTACCAGTCGTGCTCCCGTGATGGTGTACAAAAGTTACGTTAATTTAGCGATAGCTCTATAACAAATGTTCAAGAAATGTGTTAATATTTCATAAAAAAATTATCTACTACATAGAAATTTTACCTAAGGGCCACTATCTCTCTAATGCCCTTGACGAGAACAGGGAGCTGGCGGCTTGTCAAAGGTCCCCCACATTTGGCCTGATGATTTTATAAAGCTAGAAATTGGTATTTAGCAGTGTTTGGCATTTACAGTTTTGGCAGGTAGGCGGTTCCGTGGGTTTATAACTCTGCGGGTGAAAAAGCAACTGTTTTCAGTCCTACATTATGGCTTGTTGAGGTTAAAACCGTTGCTCCTTGTTCGAATTGCATCTGACCTTTTGAAGAAGTTGTCTGGATCAATATTCCCCAAATTGTTCAGTTTTTTAAATGGTTCGATGAGCTCAGCCTATCATGTCTGACTGTAAGCAAACTGTAAACTGTCTGTTTGCATTGTCGTTACCCCTGTGGCCCTCAACCGTTCCCACTTAGTTCTGGAAAGATTTTTGTCGCCCGGTGTTGAACTTTCTCTAAAGCAGCTGTGTCTTTCTGAAGATGAGGTCTCCGTGTTTGAGTGCAATAATCCAAATGGGGACGCACCAGAGATTTATACAGTTGAATAATTACCTTCTTTTCCTTGAAGTCAAAGGTTTGTCAAAGTCGGAGGCCGATTATATTGAAAATAAACGGTAAAAATATAGAGTTAATATATATAAATATTTAGGCATATATGTTTGCTATACCCATAAGAGTTTGGAAGCTGAGATGAACAGACTGTTGGGTCAATGTCGGAAGAGATTACAACCTCTGAAAGCCTTGGCATGCTGTGGAAAGGGAGTCGATGATGATGAAGATTAAACCACCCAAAAGGTGGCACGGGCATGAATAGCCCGTAAGTGGTGGCCCTTTTGAGCCATTACCAGTATCAAGAGCTGATACTGGAGATCTGTGGAGGTGCGACTGCACCCTGCGTGACGGGAGATGTCTCCCGGACCAAATGGTGACCAGATGGTGGTGTGAAAAGGGAGTCCCTGTGCTACGAATGATATACTTGAGTACTGTAAGATCTCTTATTGATTATGCTGCACCTGTCATTTCTTGTTTTGGTAAAGGTAGGATGGGCAAGTTGGAGAAGGTACAAAATGAAGCCATGAGAATTATCTTAGGATGTCCAAGAAATGCTATGATTGAGATAATGAGAATGGAGTTGAATCTGAAGAGTATTGGGGATAGAATTTCAGAGATAAATGTATTCTCTGCCATTAGATTAATGAGAGGTGGGGGAGCTAATGAATTAATCCTCTCAGTTCAAAAGGTCGGGAGTAATGAACAATGTATTACGGGCTATTCATGCTCCTGCCACCTCTTAGGTGGCTTAATCTTTATCAATCAATCTAAGAATGTATGATAAAGAAGAGAGCATATATGAGTACCTTATGCTCTAATGTTATAAAGAATGATGTTATTACAGAATGTATTGCTGTGCCTAAGAGACAATTCACCCCACCATGCGAGGATTGTAATGTAGATGTAGTAATTATTCCCTTGCAAAAGAAAAAAAAGTATGTATGAGATAGGAGAGCTGAGGGCAACATATTATTGTATAATTAGAAAATTACCTAGAGAAAACACTCTACATGTGTATATTGTGATGGGTCAGTAGCTATGGAAGATGATGTGGATGGATGGATGATCCTGTGGAGGAGGATGTGGAGTCTTTAGATTTAGGAAAGACTTGGGTAAATACTGGTTCAGTAACAGGGTTGTTGATTTGTGGAACCAATTACCGCGTAACGTGGTGGAGGTGGGGTCCCTCGATTATTTCAAGCGCGGATTGGACATGTATATGAGTGGGATTGGGTGATTATAGATAGGAGCTGCCTCGTATGGGCCAATAGGCCTTCTGCAGTTGCCCTTGTTCTTATGTTCTAATGTCTCGCAAAGCTCCTCTTTGCATTCCTTACGCGCCCCCATAGGAGCCTAAGCACGATATAGGAGTGGAAAAGTATGGTCAATAACTGGCTGATTGATTGAAGATTAAGCCACCCAAAAGGTGGCACGGGCATGAATAGCCCGTAAGTGGTGACCCTTTTGAGCCATTACCAGTATCAAGAGCTGATACTGGAGATCTGTGGAGGTGCGACTGCACCCTGCGTGACGGGAGATGTCTCCCGTGATACTGGCCTTGTGTAGTGTCTTTTATGTAGTATTGATATAAATAGGAGATGCGTTAGCAAGTTTGCAACTCATCTAGAATATTAGGAATTTAAAATAATTAATAATACTGAGGTTAAATTGATTTTATTTGTCTATCCAATAATACATTTAGATCAAACATATATTATGAGGTTCATTATAACTTGTTTCTGCAAAAGATAGTAGACACAAGAATGAATACTAAATATTAGTGCCTGAATATATTTTGGATATATGAAGACAAATTCGAATTCCTTTGATTTATTATTTGAAATTCCTTTGCGAGTTCCTGAGATTTATGTTTTCTTGGTTTACACTTCCCTAAACATCATTTTGATGATATTATGAGGTTCATTATAACTTGTTTCTGTAAGAGATAGTAGACTCAAGAATGGTTACTAAGTATGAGCGCTTAGATATCTCTAAGAATTCCTGAGTCTAGATTATGTTTACACTTTTTCCTTAACATCCTTTTGATACTTAAATAATTCATATAGATCCTTCTTGAAATTCATTTGAGATAGTTTTCCAACATCAGTTAGTTTTTGAAGTTTCTCGTTGATAAGTTTTATTTCTTCTAAACTATGATGCTTATAGAGTAGAGGATCCAAAACGGATTCCATTTTCTTATTAGCTTCGTCAATTTCAAGGCCCAAAAAAATGCCATCTACCAAAAGTTCCGCCATATCGCTCTCATTGGTCTCATCAAGGTCTTGTAAGGCACGAGAAATAAAATCAAGTGCTTTTTCTGTTAAATCCATTTTATCCTTATTCAAATTTTCCATTTTGGCTGATACTGGGTCTTCACTTTTTGTATTCTTCAATTTTCGTATGTTACCAATTCCGGAAGACAAATCGTAGCACATGTAGATAAGAACCGAAATTAAAATGAATATAACCGGCAAGAGGAACTTTCCCCGAAATGAAGTTCGTCTGTGCAACTTTCTGACGTTTGTCATCTTC